CGGAAGCCATCTGCTTTTGTCTGCTTAAGCTTCTAGGGTATGATGGGAGTAATTGGCTTTGCAGAGATAAATTAATAAATTAATTCCCATAATGGGACTCATTTAAATATTATATTATTACTCTCTATTTGAATCTAAGACACAGGTTAAACTCGTGTGCTTGTTGAGACAATGAACCTTGATATCGGTTGTGGTTAAATGCATTTTGTAAGCACGTAAAACATCATTAAACCAAAGCATCTTTTGGCTTTGGACCTTTTTAACTTGCCTCTAAACTTTATCAGCAAATGTTTTGATTCAGTCCTTTCCAGTAATACTCAGGGAAAAGGATGCTGCTAACAGAATTTGTTAAAATTGGTTTTCACAGAAGCCTTTCTAGGTGGACTGTTTATCTCTGTGCTGTCCATGGACCTGTTTCATTCAGCATTTAGAATGAATTCAGACGTTTGAACATAAAGCAAATAATAGGATTTTTCACACATAATGTACTTGTCAAGGACAAATCCTGGAAACTCTTCCCAGTTCATGAAGTCTTAGGTAGTGTCCTGTGTAGTTACTTGAGATGCAAAGTATAATTTGAGCCCACAAAGCTACAAGTGGGCAATTTATTTTGCTGGTACAAATTGTAATTGGGTTTGTGTGTGTTAAATATTTACCAAAAATGGTGAATTTTAGAAACTGTGTGGGCAGGACCTTGTAAGTGTGTGTGTAATGGGTTTGGGGTTTTGTTGTGGTTTTTTTCAAGTAGTTTAATGGATAAGGAAGAGCTTTTGAGAAGTTTTTTGTGGCAGAATATGCATTTCCAACTGCAACCAATGGCCATTCCAAGTGGAATGATGGAGTTTTGTGTACTTACTTAGTGTTAAAAATTACTGACTAGCTTTTCCACCCAGAGAATGTTTAGGTAATGTAAGGATTACGATGATGCATTGAAGAAATTAAGATTTTTTTTTTTTAATTATTAATAGAACAAACTTCACAAAGGTCTCTTTCTCTGATAGTGTTTTTTAATTTTGCACCTTCCTACAAGAAGGCTGCTCTGCTGAATATGTTCCAGCTCAGGCATCTGCGCTCCTACAATGTGCAGATTATTTTACTATTTTGCTTTATTTTACTTTATTGTATTGTATTGTATTTTATTATTTTTCAAGCCATTGCCTAGCTATGCATTTCTGAAAAAAATCCTTTTATCCAGCCTGCCCCAATACCCACAAAATCTACCCCAGCATCTCTAGGGCACTCATTAACTCATTCTTTTAAAAAAAAAATCACATTTTTAAATAATAACATTTGTTCTTTCCTGTCCTAAATCTGCCTATGTAAGCAAATGAATGTATTTAGACAGCAGAATCTGTCTGTAATCAAGTATTTCCTGGTGATGATGTGGTGTGGTGAAAAAATGGGGACCCACCTCATTGTAGCTTTGGTGGAGAATAAGTACTATAAAGAATAATACACTTTCATTTTCTTAAGATGTGGAACTACACATTTATTTTGGGGATGGAAGTGTGAATTTAATCTTCAGGAAGAAAATTTTCAGATAACCCATATGTGTTCATGTATCATCTTTTGTAGGGAGGGCTCTCCATTCAGGGAATATTTCACATATAAAAAAATTTGATTACCTGATTGATATTTTGCTCTTGGAATCCACACATTGTTTATTCTTCAATAAAAGTTTGTGATTTGGGGTTTTGGGGCTTTAGATGTTGCTGTGAATAAACTCTCAGTAAAATAACACCAGAGTGGTGGATCTGGATGTTACAGACAGCGAGGTATGTGACTGGCAGTTGTCTTTGTCACTGGTTTACTCCCTATTTTTGAATCATCTCTTGAGAAGATGTTGGAGGGAGGACTCTTCATTGTTGGTGTTCAAACCTCTTTGTGTAAGAGGAACGTTGTTGTTGATCATGGTCTCTGGTTTGGAGCTTTAAGCTTCAAAACCAAGACAAAGACTGAGACTAAAACTAAGACTAAAATTGAGACAGCTCAGGCTTTCAGATTAGGCTTTTTTTTTTTAAGATATTCTGTCTATGAGATCATATTATTTCATAAATTATTTCTGAAGTTATCTCAGAGTAACTCCCATCCCACTGCCCAGTTTTTAACCAAATGGCTATAAAGTATGATTTTCAAAAATACAGAGTTTTGAGGCTTTTCCTGAGCACCAGGAATGGATAGAGGAGAGTTACTGAAATTCTTGGCTTGTCCCAAGGGACAGTTTTCCTTGCATTTGGCTTGTTGGGTGAGCAGTTGCCACTGATGTAGCACAGAATCAGCCCCAGCACGGATCTATTTCTTGTATCTATTTCCACCTGTTTATGAAGGACATGGGATAAAAAAATTCAGTGCAGGAAAGTTTGGGGGAATAATCGAAGGAAAAGAAGAACTTAAGATTTTGCAGTGACAGATTATGGAAAATATCCTGAAAGATACAGGAAAACAGGGAAAGACACAAATTTGTGCCTACAAACCAACTTTACTATTTGACTGTTTATAGAACTTCCTTCTAAACACTTTGCCGCTAAAAGAAAATATAGTTTTTTAGTGTTCTGAAGAATGTGGTTACATTTTATTAATTCAAAGAACACACGTGATTATGAAATTAATTTGGCACAGGTGAAATAGATTTTTTTTTTTCTTACAGTTTTTCTTTGGGGTTTAGTTTTGTTTTACTTACTTTTTACTTGTTTTAAATAGATTGTAAAAAAATTACCTCCTTCAGTTAGTTTGCAAAGCCTAGATGAGATGCAGTGGTCATCTGCCCCCTACCAAAGATTAAGGTAGAAGTAGAGAGACAGACTTACCAAGTTATTTACACCTGAAAAATCTTTGCTGAGTAATGTCAAACTAAAACTGTCAGAAAAACCCTGCTTGAACTCTGGTTACTCACCACTTACCATTTCTGCAGTCATTTGGCTTTTGTATAAAATACTGAAGAAGGGTAAAAGAAATAAATAATGTCTCTGAAATCTAATTCTTTATAAGCTATTGACAATTCCAAAGTTATTACTTTGTAATCGTGCTCCAGTTTTACCCCCTGAGGTGCTAAAGGCTGTGAAGATGAGTTTCTGCTCTGCTGGTTTCATGATTCTTTTGTTCTCAAGTATTTCTGCAGACTCCTCGAGTTAAATAACCTTCACCTCTCCTATCAATATTTTTATTTTTGCCACGTAAATCTTTTTGGTACCAGCTTTTGTAACCAAGCCTTTTAAACAAAGCTGCTATAAACAGTGATTTGCAGGTTCTGTTTCTGAGGCAGCTTTCCAAAATGTGTTGTATATATTTGCTCCTGCTCTAAATGTTAAATATCATTGCACATAGCAGTAAGAACAGATGGGATGCTGCATAAGCTGTTTATCATTTTACACATTTATCACTTTACACTAGTGAAGCATGCATGTGTTTGATTAATATTAACTTTTGATTTACTTGGAGGGCCCTATTTTTTGACAGCATTAGGGATTTTATTGTAATCTTTACTGGTTTCCAAGCTTAAAATTTAATTCCAGCAAAAATAGAGATCCATTCCATAATTCTTAATTACATAATGTTTTATTTTTATTTTTTTTTCCTGTGGAAAAGAATTACCTGTTTGAGAGTTTAACACTGGAAGGAAATCAGAAGTAAATGGATAACTCTCTTTGTCTCAGTATTTTAGACAGATTAAATTTAGATGCCATTTGTCCAGCTAAATAAATATCATATCTTGGAATTAAATACCAGATGCTAAGAAGGTGTAAAATAAAACCAAACAGCAAGAGTCCTATTTAAATCGATATTCTTTTATACCCTCCACCTCCACAGAATGATAGAACTTCATATTTGCCTGCTCAACAGGTCTGGATGTTCAGCATGTGTTACACCTACGTCACTGTGTATGAAACCAAAAAAGCCTCTCATAAAGCAGCTCAAGCTTATAGACAGCTCATACTTGAGACTTCTGGCTGCAGCATTGTATTAAAAATATGGTTTACCAATACATTATTTCATTAAAATGCATTTTGTCTCAGCTAAAGCCTGAAAAGGGGAAGATTTTCCTTTAATACAATGGATGGAAAACTGATTTCAAGTTGGAGTGGAACTGCTTGTGCTGCTTGATCTGCTAAATGGCAATAATATTTAATGAGAGATTTTGCTCTGAACTGTAAATTCTTTTGAGAGTGAGATGCCCAGCCTGTCAGAATAAACGGAGGAAGCTAAAAACACTTTGAAAATGACTGTTCATTTTGAAGGCATTGAGTGATCTCAGGAAATATTACTGAGTCAGTTGAATTTTGGAGAGAGATCAACTTCCCAGCATGTATTTTGGCAGCATCTCTGCTTCCATTCCTCAATATCTTTTATGTTCAAATAGCTCACTTCAATCTTATATGCTGCCATCTTTCAAATATCAGAGAACTTCCAGTGACTCCTTATAGATTGAATGAATAAATAAATAACTTTTACCCAGGTTTATTTCTTACTGTGCCTATGCTTTCTTCTGTGTCTGTTAATTAATATTATAGAAAGACTTGTTCAGTAAAAAGGATGATGAAGCACTAAGAATTACTGAGAAAGTGTAGATATATCTACATTATAAAATACATATTTTGAAGTTGAATGTTGCAGTGCAGTTTGAAGTTGAACTGGCATGACCACAGGGCTTTATGTAGTTAATTCTTCTTTTTCCATGAAGACTCTTTTGCCCTGGTATGGCCCTGTTGCCTTTGCTTCCAGAACATGAGGAACTTGCAGAAGGAAAATGCTATTTGTTGTATATAAAATATGTAAAGGGGAGGATTTGGTTGAACTTATTTAGTTGCATATTTCCTGAAAAGATAGCTCTATTTTCCTGCCATCTCATCAGCTGTCCACTGTTTGTTAAATATGTATTTTTATTAAAAGACAGTAACTAGAAATTCTGTACCTTCCTGCTCTCTCCACCTTCTGTTTTGGAAACTGCTGGAACAAAAAGTTGTCTGCATTTTGATCTGAAAGACTCTTTTCTTTCTCTGCAGGTTAATAATGAGAACGTAGTGAAAGTTGGCCACAGGCAGGTGGTGAACATGATTCGACAAGGGGGCAATCACCTCGTTCTTAAGGTTGTCACAGTAACCAGGAATCTTGATCCAGATGACACAGCTAGAAAGAAAGGTACATTCTTCTCTTTTCTTGATGGACTCTTACTTTTTCTTGTCAGAAAATAAAATATAGACATGAAAATACTGCCTTACAAATTCTGATTTATAGACTTTGCTTTTAAATGCCTTATTCTTGTATAGCTTAGAGTAATTTAGTTCTGTTTGCTTATGCATTAATAAGTGACAAAAAGGGTAATATTTTTTTGTCCCACTTGCCATGAAAGTTAATCTTTATGGGCTTTTATACATGTATATGTTTGAGGATCTTGTAGTAAGATTTCTTGCGGTAGTGAGAGAACAAAAGCACAAAGAACAGATGATCTTTTATTAATTAATATCAAATGTACTTGAGATGAGACTACCTCTTGAAATCATTGAGAACTTTTGCAACTTTTGCAGAAAGAATAACAAAAGTAAGCAGTATGTTTAGACTGAAGGTCTGGTAGAAAAATAAAGTACATTTTAATGGGAAGATTCCTCTACATGAAATTAAAATAGAGGAGTTGTTCTAGCCAGGGAGTATCCCTTCACCTCTCATCAACACACAACACACAAAGATGCTTTTTCTGCTATTTGGCTGATAATGAGAAGGCAGCTTCTCCAAGAGAGGTTCGTATGGCATTGTGTGCCACAAAGACTTTGAGAAAGAATTGGCTGGTACAAACAGGATAGGGTTTTTTCCAAGCCTAGGGTTTGTTTGGGATTTTTTAAAATTAAATTTAATGGAGATTAATATAGGTTAACCTATATCCTAAGATTGGGCTACTCCCTTAAGAATTTCAATGTGTTTCTCACATGAAAAAACCACCACTAAAACTTCACGAAAAAAAAAACAAAACAAAAAAGAGGAAACAAAAATGGATTTTACAGTATTTCCTTCACCTCAGATGCCCCTGAGTTTGCTCAGGTGACAGCTATACTGGGAATTCATTAGGCCCTCATAATTATTATTAAGCAGAAAAGATTGCTGCTGCTATTACTATTCACACATTTTAAACAAACCTTTAATCTCTGCCTTTTGGGATGTGTCATGTTGGTCATAAATGTAGTGACAATGCTTTAAACTGGAAGATAGTAGCTTTAGACTAAATATCAGTGAGAAATTCTTTATTGTGAGGATGGTAAGGCTCTGGCAAAAGTTTCCCAGACGAGCTGTGGTTGCCCTGTTCCTGGAAGTGTGAACGCCAGGTTGGACAGGGCTTGGAGCAACCTGGTCTAGTGGAAGGTGCCCCTGCCCGTGGCAGGGGATGGAAGAAGTTTTAGGTCCCTTCCAACCCAAACCATTCAGTGAAATAAAAGTGCTGTTGTCTATGACCCAAAGGAAAGTTGCTTCTGTAAAAATAAACTCAGTTCTTTGTCATCTTGTAATTTCTAGTGAAAATGTGTCATTTGCCAACCACTTTCCCCTTTGAATCTTGTCCCTTTTTGATGGCAGTTTGTAGCCTTGCTTGTTCCCTGGCAATTGCCTTTGTACCTTGGGAATTGTGTAGAAGGATTTTGTTGCCGTCAGTCAGATGTCAGACACCCAACCTCATTTAAGAGATTATTGAGAACCTTGTCTACTTCTTTCCTCACTCTTTCTTGCCCTCAAACTGCTTTGCCTCCCTTTTTCAAAATGCTATAGGCATTTTGTATTGACCAAAATACTTGAGAATCCTTAATTTTTCCTGGTATCCCAGGGCAGTGATGTTGACTGGAAATCTCCATTTTCTTTTTGGATGTTAGGCTCCTTTCTGACCAGCAGAAATATTTGTTCTCAGGATACTAAAGCACATGCTGGGTTTTAGTTTCTGTGCTAGATGACTGTCTCGATATTTTAAGATCTTCCTTATTCTGAGGATCACCTGTTTCCCTTAGACTCACCATAACTATTCAGATCAGTGTGAATCTTCCTGTATTTCTCAGATTGAATGGTTTCTTCACAAATTAAAATACTCTGTCAGAGATTGGCTGGTCTCCAGGATTTTAGCCTAAGAAGGGGCACAACTGCTGTGAGGCCCTTCCTCTAGGAAGCTTTTTTCCTGCTGGAAAATAGAAGTGCACAGTTATTTAGCTTTAAGTGTTTCTATGTATCCTGTTACATAAAAGCTTGCGGATGTGTCAAACAACCTACGCTAAAACCAGAAACAGTAGAGAAATTCGTACAGGAAAAGCATCTCAGGGCTTTTTCCTCCGCATGTATGTATTTATTCTTACCTTATTTCGTGTAACTTATTCTTTTTAAATTGAGATGAAATTGTGGATTTAAATGTAGGGTTTGAAGGTGTTTCCTTACACTGTGTGTTTTTCTGTTTAATGCAAAGCCCCACCACCTCCTAAGCGAGCTCCAACCACTGCACTGACCCTGCGGTCTAAGTCAATGACCTCAGAGCTTGAAGAGCTTGGTAAGAAAGTGTTTTTTGGAAAGCATGGCTTAGTAGAAATGTAAAGATAAATAGATAGATAGATAGACAGGTAGATAGATAGATGTGTATGTGTTAAATTGATTAAAGGGAGCTGCACTCTGTACAGTGTGTAGAACAGAAAAGGTTTTAAGAATGCTGCATCTCTGGAGAGTTCAAATTGTGCATGACTCGCATGAATGATTTTTGTTTAAACTTGTGCCTTTACTGCTACGCAGGAGAATGTTGATACATTTTGTGCATCATCAAAGTCTGGCACACCTACACACAAAAAATAATGCCGTGTCGTATTTTGTTAGCTTTGCTTTCTGAGTTTGCAGTTCATCTAATATTGTTTTATTTTAAATTTCTGTGGCCTCTCATTAGTGGATAAAGGTAAGCTGCCAGAAGCTGTTGTTAAAAGCTGACAGTGTTAAAGCAGCTTCAACTTCAACTTGTTTTAATTAATCTGATCTGAAAGAAGTGAATATTACAATATCACTTTGACTTCTGTGCATGATATAAACTTAATTCCTCTCTATTGGTAATAAAAAATATTGACCATTCAGTCTTTCATTTGCTGATTTTAAGAAATGTGACTGTAGATTCTTTTGCTTGGTCATCCACATCCTAGATATGCATAATTCTTTGGGAATTTTTATTAATTTTCTAGAAACGAGGAAGGTAATAGGTCTTTTCTTCCTAGTTTTAACCTGTTAGATCATTAAAAAACTAGAATTTCTGCAGCTAGGTTAAGAAATATGTTATGAATAAATCATATATGCACAGAAAAAAACCCAGTGCATATTTCTATATGGCTATTACTGTAAAACAGTGTGTTTAGCAAGTGATAATTGGGTATAAAATCAAACCACATCCCTCATTGCAGAGTAATAGATGATAATAAATCAAACAATAAAACCATTTTCCCATGTAATTCTGTATTGATTTAAATATTTACATTTTACAATATAGCTTTTTTTATGGCATGGACTCATATGAAGGCAAATTGGAAGGAATCAAAGCCTTGTGGCCACTTTTTTTCCCCTGAAAGTCAGTGTTTTCTGGGGCAGATGGACCCCATCCATCCTTTAGGCAGTCAGGTCACACTGGTCCAGTGGGACGTCTTGCCAACAGAGGGAGGCTGAAGTGGGCCCTGTCTTCTCTATGGTATAACAACCAGGTGAAGACCAAAACTGAACAGTCTGATTATTTAGTTCTAACAGATCTCAGAAAATTTGATTTTTCTGGGCCAGGAAGTTTAGGAGATTAGCTAAGTATATCAACACTTTGTGAATGCTCTGTCATTTTTCTTCCATGTTTAAAATGTAAAATATTCTTTCTGGAGCCACCTTTTGGGTCTGGGTGCTTTTGTGTGCTAAGAGGTTGTAAAACTTTGCTTTTTTGCCCCTTCATTATCCTCTTCTGCAAATTGCTTTCAAACTGAGGATACTCTTCTATTTCTCTTTTCAGTCTTCCATAGGGGATACTGTTCTCAAAGCAGAGAGAGGCAGCACTCTTTCCTGGGGGAGAACAGCCTGTTAATAGTAACATCCCCTCTGCAGTGAGGACCATCATAATTTAGCTTCCTCACCCCCTGAACATATTGTAGCACTTGATCTGCTGCTTGTTCTCCCCAGCTGGCAGAAAACATCACGACTCATTTAACAAGCAGCCATGGAACACACTTCAATATTTAAGCACATTTCCCATTCATGTCTTTATCCAGACAGGGCAAATATTACAGTAGCAAGAGTTTGCTGTTCTGAAGAATAAGCCTGCACCGTGTTCCAGGAGTTTATGGCCCCTAGTAAAGCTGTAGGAATGGCAGAAATTTGTTTTCTTCCTTAAGAATGCTGTAAATGCCACTCTGAACACCTGCCAACATAGCAAACAATATGACTGCTGTTATAAAAACACCTGTGGTCTACCTGTTTTCATATGTGCCCTGTAAAAGGGCTCTTATCAGAAGAAACAAGAATTCTTAAATTGCACAACTGAACAAGCTTCCCAAGTGAAAATGTTCTCCCTGTCATCAGTTAAAAGTTGTCTTCTGACATGAACCACAGATTATATGTGTGTATTTATCTCTAATTTATATATCTCTATATGTATATGTGTATATACTGGTCATCTGTGAGAACTGTGAGAACACCCATATTTTTATATCCATTAAACTAAGGAATACGCATTTATTTCATAACTTTTATATGCAAATTAAACAGGAAAGCTCTATAAATTAACTCTGTGGATGTTCTCATCAATATATATGTGTAATCCCTTTTTCTGACTTGGAGAAGCTCATGGTCTCAATAACGTCTCGTGACAAAGAATCCCACGGGCTACTTATGTGCTGTGTACAAATGTATTTCCTTTTTATTGGTTTTAAATGTGATGCCTTTAATTTTATTGAATGTCCCTTGTTATGTAATAGAAAGAAAAGATAAATAGAAATTCCCCACTTGTTTTCCCTTAGAGTACATAGTTTTGTAATGTCTCCAGCTGAGCTAAACAACATATTTTCTTTTTTTTTTTTTTAATTATACATCTTGCAGTCATTACAGTTACTTCCTTTGCCTGGCTCTGAACTCCACTTACAGTTTTATTGACATGTTTTTAACTATTCTGTTCTTCATAACACTGAGCAGATCATCTCAGTTGTTCTCTTTCAAACTAATTAATCCCAAGGATGGCAGATAACTTGTGCTAATGATTCCATTCCACTTCAACCTGCAAAGATTTGAAAATGCCCAATTGTCATAGTCTAAAAGTCCTGGTGACAATAAGTTGCCCCAATTACTGTTTTTTAAAAAGAATTTAGAAAAAAAATTGAATTGTACATGTATCCCTAATATCTGCAGAGAAATTTCTTATTATTAATACAAACCCTGATAAACATCTTGGCAAAAGCAGATTTTATCTACTGTGGTTTGATAGATACATGTTTAGTGGAGGGGAGCAGGGAGAGACTGACATCTTAGATGGAAGAATAATAATGTTTATGCTCAAAATGACAGACAAGGATTTAGCATATAAAAAATTACCGTCAGAATTGATTCACAGTTCATTCCCTTTCTATTTCCAAGCTTCAGTACGGAAGAAGAAGGGTAAGGGGAAGCATTTTGTCTCTTGTTTAACCTGTTTCTCACCTTTCCATAGTGAAGGATAATAACATAATGTAAATGTTGGCATATGGTCCAGTTTATTTTATGGTGTCAAATGTACATTAATTATTATATATGTTTTTTAGTTATTTAGTTAATAAATTGCAAACACACTAAGAACTCAAACAGAAGACCACATTTGAAAATACTCCCCACATTTCTTCCTTTTGTCTCCTTTCCTTCATCTTGCCTTTTTTTCCTTCTCTGTATCCAACTCTTTTCCAAACCCTTCCATCTCATCTCCTCACACTTACGTTGCTCACTGGCAGCCACAGAGAAGTAGTGGCCAGTAACATCCCCAGTGTAGTCCTACATTAGTGGTTCTGCTTGTCTTTTTTAGTGACCACACGTTACTCCCGTAAAACCACACTGTCTGTCTCAGGAAATAGGGATCTTGCACATAACACCTGAGCTTTTGACCTGGAGAAAATGCTGCTCTGCACAATTTTTAATTCCCAACATAACATCTCCCATGCTGTCCTGTACGCATGGAGTGCCCTCCCTGGACTGATCCATAAAATCTTCTCCTTGAAATCTCTCCTAAAGACCCATTTTCCCTAGATCCCTGTTAAGCAACCATCCAAGCACTGATGGCAGAGGGGCAGGTGAAAGTAGTGGTGCTGTTTGAAGAGCTTTTATCAATGTACATACATGTATGCAGAGTTTGTTTGTGTTGAGCTCTATTTTTCCATGCTCCTGTACGTCATTTTCCTTTCCTAGATTGTGAGCTCTCCTGAGCAGGGACCATGTCATCTCCACCTGCTCATGGAGTCTGGCCTGAGGAAGAGCCTCAAACCTGTGTGAGCCCCTGGGTGGTAGCTGGAAAAACAGGCTGTGTCCTGCTCTTGGACAAAGCTCAGTGTCATGGAAAGGAAATTTAGTCTGTAGGCAGTGTCTTTTCTCAACAGGGAAGCTTTTCCTTTTTAACATTAAATAGGACAAAATGGGGTTATTTTCCACTCTGTATTTTTCTGCTCTTTTCTGACCTCCTTTCAGGTCATTAACAGAGATTCCAGCTAGTGATATTTGCCATTCTCCATTCAGAGAATAAACCATACTGAAAAATACATTTTGGCAGCATATAAAAGCCCCTTTGCATTGTTATTGTAGAGTCTTCCGTCAACCCAAAATTCAGTTTTCTGGGTCAGAGGCAAGGGAGGCATTAAGATAAAAATAATGGCTTCTGTGGTTCTGTTTGACTGGTTTTGTTGGTTGTCTCTGGAGATGGGTTCTGGTTCGTTGGGAGGACAGGAGAGGGGAAGGACATAGGCTGTACTTTTTATATTCAGGATATGATAGTTGTGTCTAAAGAGATAGGTAATAGAATCTTTAGGCTTGGAGCAGCGTGACATGGGCAGTACTGTCATTTTACTGCAGTTACATAGTACGGATTACTAAAATTTAGATGTGCTTCGTCTGTGCCACTGACTTTCTGCTTGTAGTAGTTGCCTGACTCAGGGATAGCTTCCAACTTTGACGTGTGTGTGTGGAGGGGACTTGTTCTCAATAGTCAAACTACCTTCTGGATTTTGTGGGATATCTGGGATGGGGAGAGGGCATTCTTCTTTCTTTTGTGACTTGTAGATTTCCAAGAATTCTAGAGATTGTAAATTCCAAGAATGAGTAAGTTGTGGCAACATATAAATTAAGAATTGTAGCGGCAATTTGTTGGAGGCAGCACTTATAATTCCATTAATACTAAGAATAACCAGAATATTCATGCAGCAAATTTAAATGAAGGTTTGAAAATACTCTAAAAATGAAACATTAAAAGGAAAATTTGGGGTCATAATTTTCGTCATCACTGGAGAAAATAGGTGTCATTGTAGTTTCAAAATCAGTATCATTAGAGTTTCAAAATTAATGTTTTAAAATAATAAATTTAACTGCTCATAAAAAGTTTATGCAGCTGGTGAAAAGCTTGCTTTTAAAGGGCTTTTTTCTTCAGTTCTTGCTTTGACTTGTTTAATCAATAACTTCTTTTGGATGGAGAATTTTAAAATTATATGATCCTTAAGGAACACATCCATAAACTAAGATCTACAAATGTCTAGATACATTATTTAAATGTTTCCTGCTCCTAAGCTTTTTTTTTTTTTTCCCCTGCCAGGAAGTGGGCTTGATTTAGTGAGTAATCTGGGATTTTCAGTGAAAGCTGAAGTGTTTAATTTTAAAATGCCTAATATAAAAATTCTCTGAGAAAAAATATAAAATTAAGACTAGAGCAGGCTAAATTTTTGGAGCAAAATCGGAATGACAGGATAAATAATTCTTCTCCATTAAGGGATATTCCATTGGCAGTCACATGAGTCTCAGTTGTGGCTAGGGGTGTTGGGTTTTTTGTTCTTAGATTTGATATGGTAATTAATATCAAATTTTGATATATACCATACACTGATAAAGTATGTGTCTTTGGGGTTTGATGTGGGCTACAGTATCAAATATAAATATAGGATTTTCTTCCTTGGAAGAGTTTAGAATCTATATCACCACCTCACAGATACAGAATAACTGATATCATCAACACAAAATATTTTTAGCTGGCATCAAGTCTTTACTGGTGTTTGAATAGAAAAATATCAGTTGATGGCATTCAAAAGAAATATTATTAGCTCTGTCTGCAATAAGCATCCACACTTCATCCCATTCCTATTGTCCATTGTTTCAAAGGTGGCTCGTTCCAATGGCATCTGAAACAATGAAATTGCAGAGCAAATATATATAAATGAATGCCAAACAGTGGATTAACTTACAGTGTTCTGTTATGTTTGAAGAAACCACTCCCAGAGTCGTCTGGGTTCAAAAATCATTTCTTTATTTCACTGTGGTGGAGTTGATGATGGAGATTTGTCTGCAGGAAAACAATGGGAACACCACCAAAGGAATTTTTACAGCACTCACAGCCTCAACTACTGCAGTAGTTTCCAGCATCTGCAGTGCTTCTCTGTAGGAAGAAGGTTTTCTGACCTCCACCAGACACTGTGTTTTAGAAGATGAGAGCAAAAGGCATCAGGCTTAATGAAGAATTCTTGAAGGTTGCCCGTGTAAGTAATTGATTTGCATTACGTATTTGAAATTGTAATGAGACAGCGATGGAGTGAAAAGGTTGTCATTGGGTTGTCATTTATCACAAGTAGAAAGCAGTGACTCTGGGTGGAATTTGTGAAGTACATGTATACCAGCCCTATTTTTTGCTGATATAGAGAGATTTTACAACTTGGAGTGAAACTTGTGGGGAGTCCACAGCAAGGAGATGTAGGATTATGACTGTGGCTACGACATGAGTACTTGTAAAACCCTTTGCAAGAGAAAAATATTGAAAATTGGCATGTTTCAAAAAGGGAACAGTGCTAACTCTGTGTTTTCAACCAAAAAAAGTTTGGCACTTGGCTGGCAATGTGCTGATTAGCAACTTGTGCCACAGAATCTAAAATTAACAGGGAACTCTTGGAACTAAAAACTTCTTCAAACCAGGGTTATGTTGCATGAGGTGGGCAGCTTTAACCAACATTTTTGAAGCTCTGGGAATCCTGAGAGGGTTGGTTGAATCTCTGTGTGGGTGTTCTCATGTACACTAGTATTATTTTGAATTTATCAGCTTAGTTAGAGTGTGTAGTGCCCTTTCATGATACTTGTTTTTCTTTACTACAGGACAGTAATTGAAAAGGTTTTCAAAACCTTTCTGCATCAGCCAAACAAGACAATGGTATAAAAGAAGTTGGAAAAGGAATTGTAAGTGTTATAGAAAATGTGGGGTTTCTAGCATTTGGAAAGAGACAAATTAAATCTGTTGACTTACGTGAGTGTTGCTGTGCTCAGATATTATCATTTTAATATCTAAGCACGTATTCAAAATCATGAGGGCTCGAGGAGCAGTTAAAATTGCATGTGTTTCCCAACATTGCACAGTTAGGGCAGTGGAAAACTCCGTCAGCGCTTTTAATGTGTTCTCTCTTTTTTTCAGGAGCCAGGGAGATGAAGGACTTATCTCCCTCATCTCAAAAATCCCTTTGCTGCTATTACTTTTTTTTATTTTTTTGCCTTCAAATGTTCATATACCCATGTTAATTAATTTCTAATATAATTAAAAATAAATGGTTTTAGATAATTCCTCATAGTTTGTTTGGTTTTTCCCCTCGGTGTGGAAGTGTGAGAGTAAGTGTTAAGACCAGAGAAGGCTGCAAGTGTCTTAAGTCCTCCACTTTCTTTTTGGTTTCTTTCAGTTGATTGTCTTTCTTTTGTGACTAGGCCAAATTTTCAAATGCTGTCTCTTAAACAGAACACCAAATTGCCACTTAAATTCCACCTGGCTTGCAGGATAGGAGTGGGTATTGACTATATTCTCTGCTTTGTTTTTGTTCTTGAACAGAAACCACTGTTAGACAATGACCATTCCTCTTTCAAGGTAGGCTGAATTGTAAGGCTTCAGGATTGCAGGTGTATTTTAAATGCCTGTATAATTATTTCATTAATTGATTATACTGTTAAAGAGCTGGTGCTTGAAAATTGTATCTCTGGAAAGAATTTGAAAATATCAGTTTTCTGCCTTCCTTAAAATTACTTTTGATGGTGTGATTATAATGAGTAAATGTGACTTGTGTGTACTAATGTGAAGCAATTTTCAGCCATAGAAACACAAATAAGACTTTCTTTCAAGAAAGTTTTAAAGTTCTTTACTTTGAATACATACAAATCATTTCCATAAATCATGTAATGGTATTTATAGATAATGTTAAATGATTAATTTTAGTTACTAAACAATTTTTATGTTTTACTGATTTATTTTCTATATTTTTCTTTTTTTTTATTTTATTTTATTTTAGCATACTTTGTAGAGCTTACAGTATCCCAGAGAACAGAAAAGTATTTTTACTTAACTTTCATAGAAGGAAAGAGTTTTAAGTGCCTTATGTGTTTGACTGTATTGCAAAGCACTTCTGTTATTTCCTCATCATGCTGACTGCTAAAGTAATATTCTCTGCCTGTTGTTCACAGTGTGGTAAACGTGAGATTTTTGGCATTGTGACTTAAGCACAGTCCTGCAAATTTTTCATCTGGGGTGGGGCTGGAAGAAGTTAATTCCAGGTTAAAATGTGATGGCAGATTTATGAGGAGTAGACTAATTGTCTACATGAAAATTCAGACCATTCCATTTCTGTGTACTTTTAACTATACATTTATATGACATAACTGTAGGCTGAACTTGTTGTTTCTTTCCTCTAAATACGATCATAAACAACAAGTTTGGATTTCAACTTTAACCTTTAATATTCTTTCTCTGAATCACTGCTTTAGCTAAGGTTAGTCTTTAAATGCTTAGTGATGTGTTGAAGGACTCATTATACTTAATCTACTTCTGATCTTTGATGAATTTTTATATATGTAATCCTATTTTAATAGCTCAAAGAAAGCCATTTGTTTTCAGTGGGCACAGTTGATGTATCAGAGATCCATTTTTAACCCTCTCCAAATAGGAGTCACCTGTTTTTCCTTAGGGACATTGGAGTTTTACTCATCAGATGCAGTTGCTTCTATGACAAGCAACATTATCAAAAGAACTTCTATAGTCTGACCAAGCTTTCTTTTGAAATCAGTAGGTTCTCATCTTTCTGCTGCCATGACAGTAGTATTGGAAAGCTGGTCCATCTGCTTCTGGGAAAGCCTTGTCCACATTCCCAGAGTTTTTGCCCAAATTGTCCTTTACGTAGTTTTCCCACCCACAGACATTCACCCCCAAGTATTTAGAAAGTTATTTCCCAGATATTCTTTTACAAACTAAGCAAGGCAAGCTCTTTTGCATATATATGGGAAGTGACAAAACCCTAAAAGGAATGCAGTGTAAATAATTGCACCTGCTTGTTCTAGATGCTGCTTTTTTTTTTTTTCCCCCAGACTTGGAAACTTAATTATATGCATAATCACTCCTGGTCTTCATGCCAAAATCAAGCTGATTGTAGTTAAAAATAGAAGAAATTAGAAAAAAAATTTAATCCATAAGATAAAAGCAATACCACAGCCATATTTTTATGCAGTTTAGATGAATCTCTATCCATTTTTAATAGGCACATGTGAAGACTACCCTTTTAGTTTTAGTTCTGTCTATGTAACCCATTTTTGCAGATTATTGCCAAATTTTATCAGATGATGAAAGATATTAAACTAAACCTGCAAACTCGTATTTAGGGAAGGCGATGGAACAAAACACGTGCATGTGCAGTACCTGACATTAAGGGCCATGTGCCCAAAGCTGTTGACATCAAGGAAGAATGAATGTCCTGTGTTCCCATCACTTTTCAAAAGGAAAAAAATGCATGTGCCAAATATTTTCCTGTGATTGACTGCAGTTGCTAGACCAGGTGGGTGATACTACAGCACAGAGGTGCAATTGGCATTGTATGAAGTTTTGCATAAAGCACCTGGTACAGTTTCTGTCTGTATCTATCTTAGGTATTTACAAGGCACCTATCACCTTGGTACCTAAGCACTTTGAAAAATGCACCCACCCCAGGAGGCATGATGCAAATACAGACAGAGGCCCAGGTCCAGAGCAGCAGAGGCAGGTCCCAGGAAGCTCCCCAACTATGTTCCTGCTGTTGTTGAGCTCCTGGCCCACTTGGTGTGGCCAAGGCACATCTCCACCCACCTGTCAGCAGGAAGACGGTGCCCCACCCCTCACGTGCAGCTCCGCTGGTGGGCAATCTGGAAAGGAGAGATAATGGAAAAGGCAACGATCCAGTAGCAGAGGTGAAACAGGAATGGTGGGATTTCAAAAGGAGGGCTTCTTAAAGAGCAGCACATCTCAGGGGAGGGATCAGCTGCCAGTCCAAATGGCAGGTAAGGCACAACACAGGCATAAATCTCAAATGTTCTTCAGTAAACAAAAGTTAAAGACATTCTTCTGATGTCTCTAAAGTTTGTGTACATCCAAAGCCCTGCTCTGTTCTTGGCCTCTGTCTCAGTCCTCTACCCCTGCAGATGAATCAAGTGTTCAGTTCTCTGTGTACCTCTACCCAACAATTGCTGCAATTCCAAATGTATCTAATAACCAACATAAAGGACTCTCGTGGGTAGTGAATGTTGTGGTGCAAAGGAGACAGCATGGTATAGCAGTGCTCCAAAATAATGGACATATTCATGAACCTAAAGGCTGGAATAAACTTGGCTTCTGGTCACCATGTTCAGGGCAGGACCGGTCAGACACAGCTCACCCCTGCAGACACACATGGAGCTCCTCCTGTGGCCTCCAGGAGCAGTTGCTGATCCACTACATCAGACCAAACCATGTATCAGCCCAGGGCAAACACCTGGACAGGCAGCAGCTACAAGTTCTGCTGCAGAAACAGAGAACCTGTCTGCCAGGGCAGAAGGGAAGATAGCCAGGACTGTGATGGAGGTTCTCTAGTTGCTATTACATGGACCACTTTAATACCAGATCTCATTTTTTCTTTAAACACAACAGAATCAGTGAGGTAAAACAAAACAAAACAAAAAAGTCTTCAGAAACCTGCGAGTCCCATGGGACTTTAGGAAATAGCTGCATAGTACTCAGAGTGATCAACACTGACGTTAAAGTTCAGTGAGTCACTGACTTCCAGAAGTTTCCGTTCCCCGTAGCCCATATGCATGACCCTTTCTGAGTCCATTACTTGGTCATTTAAGGATCGAAATGGGAGTCATGCCCTGGCAGAGCAAGGGATGTAAGGTTAGGAGCATGAACCTTGGAGACTACCAGTTTGGTGGCTGCTATCACTAGATATAAACATAAGGGACCTGTTTTACCTGGATATATCCCTGTGAGCAAAATGCTGCACGTAGGAATGGTGTGGAAGGTGGAAATGACTAGAGAGATCACAGAATCTGATCTCTTCCCTTGCTTCGCACCCAAGGAAGCTGAACTTTTTTGTACCAACTCTGTTTTAAGCTTTGAAAAAAGAAATATTTTTTTAAAGCAAATTAACAAGCAAGTAAGATCAACAGTGTTGGTATACAGTTTGATCCATGTTCTCATGGACAATTTTGACTTGACAATCATAGTGCCCTCTCTCTTTTTTTTTGGAAGTCATCCCTTTTCCAAGGAAAGGAGGTAAAGGCAGTTAGTTGAGGTCACTTTATCAATCAGCGTCAATCCTTCTGTCAGCAGCTGTTCAAACATAAGGACAGTTTCCAGCTGAACCAAGTTTTCCAATGGCCCTGGCACACCTTTTCCACAGCACCAGCCTAAGCACTGGTGCGACCATCTGACCAAGATGCACCCTGAATTTCAGGCGATTTTTGGTCATCAAGGAATGGATTTCTTGGGCAGAGACAGGCACATTCATCAAAGTGGTGTCAGCCATTGACCTTCAGGCAGTTTCCCCAAGTTTAACTACAGGCTATACGTGTAGTGCACCCTCGGTTCCTCATGCCCCATGTCAATGCTTCACAAGGCTTCCAGAACCCAGTTACTAAGAGATGTTGAGCACTTTGTTACAAGCAATAACAGTTATGATTATTCCTCCTTTTCATTGCTAGCCAAGTTTACCAACCTAACCTAAAACCTGTGAATGTATTCATTATTCAGAAGTATTCGCCAAGAGTTTCCACAATTAACTCTCTGCCCAGGGGTTTTCACAGACTGTTTGCTTGTGCCCTTTGTCATTTGTGTTATTGGTCACCGGTGCCAGTTGCTGTTCTTTCAGGTCTGAAAGGCTGAAAATGCTGAATAGGAGGGTAGCAACTGGTAAATTTTCATACGGAATACAGAATTTTGCAAAAATTTACTTTAGTGTGCTTTTTCATGGAATTTTTTCTTCACAAGCCTCTGGCAAGTGTGTGAACATGCACAAAAACAAAAGTTTTGTGATCCCCCTGAATCTGAACAAACTAAAATCAGTGATACCATTTACAGAAATATTCGTAAGTCAGTGTGGGCTTTGGAGTTTTTTGATTTTGCTTTGCTTCAGTTTTTGACTTTTAGTTTAGTTTGGTTCTGTTGCTTGCCAGTTGTTAGGTGGGCTCTGCTTAGAACACTTGTCAGGTAAATGGAGTTTTCAAACATGGGGAATTTTCTGATGACATGTCAAAATGAATACCAAGACATTTTGTATGACCAGTGGTGGCTCTACCAGAATGAGTATATATGATCCCTTATCTCACACTGATTCCATAGACTTTAACTGAAGTGTGTGTTTGCTATGTGTGGTAAAAATAGGTCCCCTGGTTTTTTTGTGCTTTTTTTCATGTGTAGTCCAATAGGAAAATGCAGAGAAGTAATTTCATGGTCCTACACTATAGTTGCAAGGAGACATTTGTTAATGAAGGAATGCCTATGGCTGTATTAGACAAAGTGGGAGAAGAATTGCAAAGGAAGAGGCAGTTATTAGTCAGGTTGATATATAGTCCCTTTCAAATCTCCATGGAAAGGAAGAGCCAATGATTGCATGACAGTTTGTCCCTAAAATTCATTTTCATGAAGAGCTCATGCCTTTTTACAAATACAATCTCATCCTCACTTTCCATAAAACATGCAACTGGACAGTCCAGCCAGAGGGAATATGAATACTTTGAATGTGAATACTTTGAAGTAGTGAATATGCTAAATGCACGAATAATATCCATTATTTTAGCACTTAAAACTTATCTTTCTATTAAGTCACACAGAATCCCTTTTAGAACAGTATAATAATTAGAACAATAATACTGGAGGCACTTGGGTGCAGAAATAATGAGTGCCACATTACAGTAGACAGGGATTGGTAATACAGGAGGAGGGATCCTTGGGTCTGTCAGAAGGAGCTTTCATTTTAAACTATATAAAATAATTTCTTAAAAAATCAATCAACCCCCCCCCCCCCCATAAACAGAACCAAAATTATCATTTAACATGACCTCAGCAACACCTTGCAGATGTAAGCTTACAGCTTCTGTCGAGGTCTGAAGAGCAGCATGCAGAGTATTTAAAAAAGCAGAAATTAATCCTTGAAAAATAACTTTTTTTGAGACTGGGATGCCAGAGAGTAGGCATGACACTGACCTGGCATCCAGACCACTGTAGTGTAAGCAGCACAGCCAGCAACAGTGAGCCACTGCTGCTCAGGACACAATCCTACTGACAACAGCACTTCTCTCACCCATCCCTTGCCTGAGCCTTAGGAATGCAGAAGTAAACAGCTGAGCCATTCCTCACCTTTGGCCAGGAGGTAATTTTATACAGGGGAGGATTTAGAGTAAGAACATAGATAACATCCTCCACCTTAACATCTGTAGTGATGGCTCTTTGCACACTGAGCTACCACAAGGAAGTACTTGTACCTGGGTTTCCACCACGTGCCCTCAGGCAAGGGAAGAGGTAGCCAGGGGAGGGCAAAACTCAGTTCATTTCCAGGAGATGATGAGATCCCGGTGAGCAATGCCCTCAAATGGTGTTTCCGACTGTTTGGAGGAAAAGAGCGAGGAGAATCCAGCGAATGTTGGGGAGGGCATTGCTCGCGGGATAAACCCCGTGGCCGGACACCGTCGCGCTGCAGCAGTGACTTGGGAGAGAGCCCACTGGGGGTGGGGGTGATGTGAGACGGCGGACAAAAGTGAAGATAGCCAGCAGTGCCTCAGAGCAACAAAGGGCTGCCCTCAGCCAGTGGTGGAGCACATCTGGCGCCCCAGGAAGCTCAATTGGACCCCTGGCCCTGAGCTCGTCCCAGGGATTTCTGACTGACACCACTGCAGTGCATAGGTGAGCTTTTCGCTAGGTTCACTGACATTTCCTGTCACAGTCACGCTGAGGGGAATTGGTAGCTCCTGCCTTGGGATGCAGCACGGCTGTGTGTGTTCTGGGTACAGGACAGTGTGCATTGGTACCGAAAGTGGTAAATAACTTCAACTGCCACATGCCCAGTGCAGTCACTAAACTTAAGTCCACCCTTCCGCTTGCCCAAACACATACACTCTTGGCTTCCCAACTGGCTTCTTTCTATGTGTTGTCCAATGCATGTAGATACCTCCATCTGCCTGGCCTCAGATACAGTGGTTGTTGCTCCTCTATTTGATTGCCAGATGTCACTGGGGAGCAAGATGGGGAGGTTCCTGGATCCTCGGGGCAAGCCGGTCATCACCGAGGGAGCTCGCTGTCCACGCCGGCTGAAGAACAGGAATCCTCGGTGCCTGCCTCTGACGAAGACTCGCCAGCCAGGACCACAGAGAGCTGGCAGTGGCCACTGTCCTCGTCTGAAACGCACAGCAACGTTGGGGAGGATTTTGAGGGATTTCAAACGCCAGCGCGGACTCCGGAGTGTACCATGGACGTACAGTCTCCCGGGGATCAGTCACTCAGTAGGACTCCTCAGTTTGAAAGTGACTCTCCTGAGGAGGAGGGAAATGATGAAATGAATGAAGAGCGCTGCGGTGTTGAGCCTGTCCCTAGGGATCGGGGTTGGAGAGGGCAGCCCCAGCTAACAGAGGGAGAGAAGCTGTTGATGGAAACCAACAGTAGGATTGTGCAGCTGCTGGAAAATATCAAGAGGGAGCATGCACAGTCCATGGGCCTCATGTCCCAGTCCATGGGCCGTATGGAGCTGCAGCTGGGCATTGTGGCTACCTCCACAAGAGCCATCCATAACTACCTGTCAGAGATTTTAGCTTTTCTCAAGCAGCCGAGGACTCAGGTCCTTGAAACACGCATCTCCCAAAGAGCCACCCCCCATGTCGAGTTGACCTGTGCCTCGACATGGACTGGGGAGGACGCAGTGGCATCCTCCACTGTGTGCTTACCTGGGGCCGAGGGGACAGGCGACTCTCGAGACCCACCACAGGCCACCCTGCCTTGTCGCAGTGGCCGGCTGCAGAGAGCCATAACCGAGAGGGCCTCGCTGCCCATGCCTCCACGCCAGGCAAAAGGGGGAGGGAAGAAAAAATAACCACTTCATAGGGTTTTTAGAGGTTTTTTTTAATGTGCCTGTCCTTTTAATTCTTAGCCATAAGGCCATCGGTGGCAGAGTTTCAACCATTTTCTACATTGGCTAACATTGTATTCTGGCTGACTAGATTAGTCTAACATTTTGTAGTTTATATTTGCACTGTTAACTATGTGTGCTGCTGGTATTTGAAGAACATTTGCCTCTGTTCTTTCACTTTAACTTCATACAAGCATTTTTTTACTCTGTGCCAGGCATTCATTGCTTTTCTTACAAATACAAGTCATTTCTTGAGGCAGCTGTTTTTTGAGTTTTCTTTCTCCATTATCCCATCCCCTCTGAGCAAGCACTCGGGACTTGGTGGTAAGTATAGAGGTCTTGGCAATACTCGCCTCCAAAACTGTGTTCGATCAGTCTTTGCCTGGTGTTTCTGGCATGCCAGCCTGAGGTGTTGGGATCAGCCTGTACCAGATCATGATCATTCTTATCCTCTGTGGGTCTGACCAGCTCAGTTTCTAAGACCCTCGGTGGAGCTAATCCACATGTCTTGGCTATGTCGTACAATAAGTAATGTTGCCAGGATCATACCTCATATTTCTCCTTTGGGGGCTGTATAGTGATGTGCCACCAGATCTATCTAGGCACCTGGCTCTCGTTTTCAAAGTTCCTTTCATGATGGATCTGGTGGCTTGATGGGCAGCATTATAATTTTTCCTCTGAGAGAGTCTGGGGATTTGAAACAGGAGTCACTAAGCAATGTGTTCTATGGGGATAAGAGCCATCTCCTGCAACAAATCTATTAGGAGGAGACTGTCCCCTGTAATTATCAGAGATATTAATTATTTAAGAAAAAGAGAAAAAAAAAAAAAAAGGCAACTTGCCTGGCAGCCAGACCTCTTGAGAATGTAAAAGTCATGACACGCTGTTGGGTACTATGCTCCTCTGTCTGTGATTAAGAGCTTCTCATCAGAGACGACTTACATCTTGATAAAACACAACTACTTTCTGTGCCTTTAGGCCATCTAATTTCCTGAGGGCTGGCACCCTGAGCAGAGCATGGGGCCCATTTGTAACCCACAGGGCAGATGGAAATGCACTTTGCAATAAATTATTTTATATCTGTTGGTGCTGCCTCTCTCGGGGGAATTTAATTTAGTGGCACTCAAACTGCTATATGCATGCAGAGGCATCAGACTTGGCTTTTCCATGTGGTATCCCTGACAGTTCTCTGAAAGGATGCTGTTGCCAGGAGCCCCTGAGCGGTGGTGACCTGCTCTCACAGGTGTAGCATGGCTCCTATGTTTGACTCTCAACACGCCGTTGTAACTTCTTGGGAAGGTTCAGAAGAGTTTATATGGCAAAGCAGTGATGAATGGAAAATGCTAGAGAACAACCATAGGCTTAAAAATCCTCTTCTATGATTACAACCGAGCTGTGCACTCTGCCTCTATGAGACATAGGCTCTTCTTCCCTGTCTTTCTGTGAGGTTATGCAAGATAAAGCAGATCATATTTTGTTATTCTACCAGTCAGCCACAAATTGCTCCCATGTAAGTGTGTGTGCGTGTGTGCTTGTGGCTGTACTTTGCTAAATGACCGGTATAAGGATGAAATTGCATCTGGCATGGCCGACCTTGAGTGTAGGCTTTCTCCACTACCAAATATTTCTTCCCTTTCACCTCCATCCAGCTGAGTTACTTGTAAAAATGCCATTGGAGGTAGGCTTCTTTGGCCACACTGGTGACACTCTTCACACCATGTGCCAATTTTTGCATCTGCATCTATTTTGTGGCTTTTTTTTTTTTTTAATATATATCTCTTTTGTCAGAACTACTTGTAAAGTTATCCTCAGAGAACTTCCAACATAAGCTTGTAAGCTTTTCCATCTCACTGGTGCAAGAAGTGTGCGCTGCAGAGTATTTGAGGTCACAAGGAAGTTGGGAGAGAAGCTGATTAGTGAGCCTGACAAATTATTCCAGTACGTGTGGCCTTCTGAACAAGCTGGTTCTGGTGCATAAGTGGTTTGCACACTGGTGCTGTGGATGTGAACAGCCCAGTTCAAAGCACAGGGTTTGTCCCAATAAGTTTACATCTTCTTTCTTTGGGATGAGTTTGAGTGAAACTAAGTACAATCCAGCCAGTCAGTTTGGCCTAATTAGCATGTTTGATAATGCAGTGAGAATGTTTTTTATTTTCCACAGTGCTTTCACTTCAGAAGGGTGGTGCAGTTGTGGCTAGATGTTAAGATTTTGATTTGTTCTGCAGGACCCGCCATGTAGCTGCTGCCATTTAGAACCAGTCTTGTTCCCTCGTGCTGGCTGCTTCCATGGCTTCACACTTTTTTGTTGTAGTCTCAAAACAACAACCTCCACTCAACCTTTGCTTCTTGACCAAAGGCAGCAGAGCAAAAAGGAAATGTAGTAGTGCTGCAGTTGCAGATGCTATGCAGGGAAGCACTAAAGAGTTCCTTGCAAAGCAGCTCAAGCTTTACCTGCTTTCCTCTCCCATTTCCAAGTGCTTTAGCTAGACATGGCAAGGCACAAAGCAGCACTCCAATGGGAGCAACCGTAGAATGAGAAGGGCTGGGAACCTGTCTACAGACAAGAAACCTGCAGTAAATTTACACAAAACCAAGGGGTTTTTTTTCCACGTGAAAGTAGTAGATGGTATTAAGAATTGGTGCCAACTGATATTTTGCTCAGATCCAACATTAGGATCTGACTAGTCGTATTGTCTAGCAAAATCAGTGCAGTTGGAGGGTATGTGTGTTCCATCCCCAACAAATATTTTCATGCTTTTCAATTGTCTGTCATGGCCTCATCACTCTTTCCCTGTAGCTTTTTGTTGTCTGAATGGGTATATGGTTACATGTGTCTGTTAAAAATAAAGGGGATCAGTTCTTCCATGGTATATTTATATTTCTTATGTACAGATTTTGAGTATGTAGTGCTTCAGTTTCCAAAAGTTCCTTCTTTCTGTATCCAAAAGACCAGTTGTTTGGCTTCTGGGATGATAACAAAGGTGGGAGAGCCTTAACAGGAAATCTCTGCCCAGCTGAAGCTCTTGGTGATAGATCCCCTGAGTGTGATTCTGCAGTTTGGCCATATTTTTGATGTAGAGGTCAAATATTCATGGTTACACTGCTCCTTTCTGATGCCTTTTGCTGAGCAGAAGCACAGATGTTTTTCTTTCAGAAGTTCACAGTTTGTGTAACAAAGTCTTTATGAAATGTGATACGAAGTTTGTTTTATTTTTGAATACGTATGATAATTTTAAGAAATTTTTTTTTCCTTTTCTCCTTCCACTGGATGATTTAAATCCCACCAAAAAAAAAAAAAAAAAAAAAAGCAGACCAATGAAAAGAATTGAATACTAACTTCAATTGAAAAGAAACAGCAACACTACTCTTGTGAGACAGTTTTCAGCAGTGTTCAGCTTACTGGTCCTGCTCAGCCTTTCCTTTCCTGCCTGCTCCCTGACCCTCTGTGACATTGAAATATCCACTTCTAGGACAACCTTCTTCCTAACCTGAAGGCTAAAAGTTTTTCCCTCTCTTCTTCTCCCATTTAAAATATCATCCTTGCATCATCCAGATCTACTGTTTAGAGGGATCAAAAGCTCTTTTCCTCCTGCCTTATTCCCATCCATAGCAATATCCAGGGCCCTGAGTGCACTGCTCTCCTGTGAGAGGTAAAACTTAAATCCCTAAATCCAATGCTTGGCATAGTAACACTGCCAAAAAACTCTTTGGGGTTTTTTTGTTTGTTTGTTGGTTTTTTTTAAGTCTCTAGTACCCTAATAATGTAACTACCCTTGTTTGCTGGAGCAAAGAATCAATTATTTGGGAGATGGATTTAATTGCTTGAAAGTAACATTGCTCTGACTCACATTGTGGAAGCCCAGGCTAAGGTATTCCACTCACATAAACACCACAGGCTATGTAACTAATCCTTACTTTGGTGAAACTTCAAAGGAAAAGACACTAAATTAACATGCTACAGGGAAGCAAATACCATGGAAGGTGTAGCAAGAAAACCTGTTGGTATGATTTGGATTCTAGCACAGATTCAAAACTCAAACTATTCTGGTAGCTTAGCTACTTGTTTAATTTCTCCATGCCTTGGGTTCATAGCAGCAGAAGGGGCAAAAAAAGGAACTGTCAGGCAATAGTTAGTTGATTATATGGTACTTTGAGGTCTTCAGTCTGAGGGAGTAATGTAATAAATGCTGATGGAGCTTGTTTGTGACCAAAGTTGGAAACAGGACTAACACCAGCACTCGGCTTTGGAATATCCTGAATAAAGTTCTCCCTATAGTTTACCGTCATGTCATATGGTGGATCAGAATCCCAAATCCAAATGTTGAAGCTCTCATTCAGACTTGGACTTTGCCTATTTGATCTGTTTCTGACCACAACTAAATACATTCCCAAGCCGTCCAGTTATTAAAATAAAAAAACCCACATATAAAGGTTTCATTTAAACAAATAATGGAGTTAGTAATGGCAGTCTACAAGTCCAAAAGAGTGAATAGATTAGGATGTTATTACTTGAGGAGAATAGGCATAAAAGAGCACTTCTGGAGTACTTGCTATTGTCCAAAATATCACTGAAATTCTGATGACTAAGTACAGTCTGCTTATCTCTATTTGAAACAGTGCTGTACGGATTCATTATTTCTAAAGGTCTTCTTTCCATTTCTATATAGATATTCTCCCTTCACATTTTGAAGGTTTGAAGAAGAGGATTGTTTTTCGAGTCACACTAAGTAAACATTGAATGCATGCAGGCTTAAAACTAAAGCATGCATGTTATGTAGCAGCAATAAAAAGTGCTCGGCTTGCACGACTTATGATGCTCAAGCGTTGCCTTGTTAAAATGCCAAAAAAACTTTTTCTTTGCATTTTTTTGAAACGTAAATCTCTTCCTTTGACCCTGCAATACTTTTCTGTTTCTTTGGACAAATGATATTTATTTTACTGAACACTTTTATATTACAGATAAGGTGGATGAAATAGTACCAGTTTCCAAGCCATCAAGAATTGCAGACAATGCAACTGTGGACTCGAGAGTGGCAACTATAAAACAGAGGCCTTCTAGTAGATGTTTTCCCTCAGCTACAGATATGAATGTGAGTAGGAGCGATGAAGAGCTGCTTTCATTTCTGGAACTGGTTGGAGGGTGTCTTTTGGCTTTATAAACTCATTTTACTTTTATTATCTTGTAACTTTTAAGGCATGGTCTACTCTGCATTTCTGTTAATAGTTTTGGGACAGAACAGTCTACAAACCCCTATAAAACCTTTCTCATTATGTCCTCTTATTTATTCTGAGGCTGTCACACCAGTGGTATTTCTCCCTCAGTGTTATTCAAGCAGATGTGAATTTGAGCTGGTGAGACCCCAGCAAGTTCTGAACTTGAAGGTATCATTACAACACGAAGCCTAAGTTCAAAAAACATGCTGAAAGTCAAGGTTATGCTATTTCAGTTTCAACACCAGTGTTAATGTACCCGCACCATCCTTACTAATGTGAAAGTTTCTCCTACTGCAGGTTTTTGTTGTTCCTAATGGCATATATAATACCTCAATTAAATAATGCATGATGATTTGTAAGGGAAGAATTGGCATTAATTGTGTAGCACATATTTAAAATTAAACTCCAGAACTCTGAAATTGGATTGTTTAGTTGCAGGATTTGGTCTCACAAAACTTTTCACCTGAAAAAATAATTGGTTTGATTGCATTTTAGATATATTTTTCCCTTACCCAGCTCTCTGAAAGAGCATCAGTCCTGATGTAACAAGCACTTTCTGTTTGCAGCAGCTCAGAGTGGAAGGAAATTAAGACTATTCTAAGAGGCAGAATACAAATAGTTTTGTGATGAAAAGGAGGAACAACTGAGAACATTGGGTTTCAGGTGGCATTCCTCATCTCCCAGCTGAGATGCTGACTGCCAGTGTAACATTGTACAAGACACCTTGAGTCTATGCAAGACTCCAAGAATAGTCTGGTCTTCAGAAGTGAAGGGAGCTCACACAGAGGGAGCATTAATAGCTACAGGGTGTGTGGTTGGGTTTTTGGAATTGAATGAATTAAAATCAGTTGCTCATACTTCCATTTTCTTACAGCACTCAAAATATGCTGGAAACTTTAATATATTGCCTCGTAAATAATTTCAAGGAAATCCACTTACAACTGTGGTCATTTTGTCTTTTCTCTTCCCCTCCTTACCAAAACAACACTGATTTTGTTGTTTTCCATAGGAATTCAAAGTAAAAGGGATAATGGATTAGCAGCTATGACAGAAGAGTTATTTACATGTGAGAGAGACATTCATGCTTTAATGCTTGTGGGGTTTCTGTTTGCTTTTTTGTAGTCCATGTATGAGAGACAGGGTATTGCTGTGATGACGCCCACTGTACCAGGGAGTCCTCAAGGTCCTTTTCTGGGTATACCTCGGGGTACAATGAGGAGACAAAAATCTATAGGTAAAATGCTTCTCATGTATAGTTTGCTTGTGCATTAATCATATACTTGTAGTAACTTTGTTTCTTTCTTAAAGCATAGTCCTCCAACACCTTTGCCTCAGTGAGTGACTTTAATTTTTATACAAAGTTCACGAGAAAAGAAGTTTGTGTGTAAGGTGATGTAATTTCCACATTCTGCTTTGATGGTGGTAGCCAAGTATGGAATTATAATTTAATTGTTTTCTTTAGAATGTTACCTCTAACAAGGAAAAAAAAGATCAGTACAAGCCCTTTGCAAAGCATTAGGGCAAAATGTTACCCCTTTTTTCTTTGTTATTGAGGTAAAAGCGCTGTAATGCTGTGTAGTTTACAAAACAATCCTGTTGATCAAATGGACTAAAATTCACCCTTTTTTTCATATCAAATTATGGCAATAGAAGATTGTACAACAAAGAAAGGAAGAACAGACCAAAACAGACCAAATTTGGGTTTGCTTTTTTCTTGGTAACAATCTTAGTAGCGATTTTTATCAATTTAGAAACACATTATGCTGATGTAAAATTAGCATCCAAATTACCCCCAGTATTACGGGTTTATTTGCGTTAAAAGCTGTATTTGTAATAATATAATGTCATCCTTTGTAAGGAAACATGATTTTTGTCCCCAATAGGATCTTCACAGTCCCCTTGCCAAATTCCAAATGCATCTCAAAAATTCATTAGGTTTCCAAGTTGCATTGTTATATTCATTTTATAGAGTGCTAGAGCAAGGCAGAAGCTACTCTTCTGCACAGAACATCTTCCCTCTTCAATAATTTTCTTAGAAAATGTGCTTCTCTACTGCTGCCTTGATGATACATAAACTCCAAACATTTGCCTACACATCAGTGATCGGTTTAATTAAAACTCTGTAGCATCCTTTTCAATTCTAGCACCTGGAAGTCCAACAGGAAAGAATTCCTATGTAGAAAACCAACCAAAAGACATCCTTTAGAATTTTGCATATGCCTTGTGTCATGGGAAATGCACCCTGGCATTTTGGGTTGGATACAGAAATGATACAGTAATAATGCAGAGGGATCCCGGTCGAAGACAGTGTTTTAAATATACTTTCTCACTTTTTTAGGAATAACAGAGGAAGAACGGCAGTTTCTGGCTCCTCCTATGCTGAAGTTTACCAGAAGTCTATCAATGCCTGACACCTCTGAAGATATCCCACCACCACCACAGTCCTTACCTCCTTCACCACCACCACCTTCTCCCTCTCTGTACAATTCCCCCAAATCCCTCACAACAAGGAGCTATGGAACTATTAAACCTCCATTTAACCAGAATTCAGGTGCAAAAATTTCCTTGGTTAGGCCTGAGAGTGTGGGAACAATGATAAGGGACAAAGGGATCTATTACAGACGAGAGCTGGACCGATACTCTCTGGACTCAGAAGACCTGTATAGTCGAAGTGCCGCATCTCAGGCAAATTTCAGGAACAAGAGGGGTCAGATGCCAGAAAATCCGTATTCTGAGGTTGGGAAGATTGCAAGCAAAGCAGTTTATGTGCCAGCCAAACCAGCGAGGCGGAAGGGGATGCTGGTGAAACAATCCAACGTTGAGGACAGTCCGGAAAAGACCTGCTCTATTCCAATCCCAACAATCATTGTGAAAGAGCCATCCACCAGCAGCAGTGGGAAAAGCAGCCAAGGGAGCAGCATGGAAATCGATCCTCAGTCTTCAGAGCAACCGGGGCAGCTCCGGCCTGACGACAGCTTGGGTGTCAGCAGTCCGTTTGCAGCAGCCATTGCAGGGGCAGTGAGGGACAGGGAAAAGAGGCTGGAAGCGAGAAGGAATTCTCCAGCCTTCCTTTCCACAGACCTGGGAGATGAGGATGTTGGGCTAACCCCACCAACACCACGTATGAGGCAATCTAAGTTCACCGATGAAGTAATGTTCAGTAGTGAGGATGGTTTCAGACAGCTCATGTCGCCATCACCAATTCCTGCACCCAGAGAGCCTGAAAGTCTCTTCAATAGCAGTGAGCCCAGCAATCAGAGTGACTCAAGGACATTAAATGCCTCGTCCAAAATGAAAGGTACTGACAACAGTGCAGTGGCAGCCAAGTCCACAAACGCATCCAGCCCGGAGAGTTACGTCCACCCAGTCACAGGGAAGCTGTTGGATCCAAACTCACCACTAGCCCTTGCGCTCTCTGCCAGGGACAGAGCCATGAAAGAACAAACACAGCAGATTCCAGGCAAAGGAGACACTGTCAAAACAGACCTTAATAAACCGCTTTACATCGATACAAAGCTGAGACCCAACATGGAAACGACTTTTCCTGTTACTGCCACTGTCACGAGGCAAAACACCCGTGGCTTGTTGAGACGACAGGAGACTGAGAACAAGTATGAAACGGATGCAGGAAAAGAAAAGAAAGCTGAGGAGAAGAAGAACATGTTGATAAACATTGTGGATACCTCGCAGCAGAAGTCAGCTGGTTTGTTGATGGTTCATACCGTGGACACAGCAAAGTCGGACGATATGCCTGAAGATGAGGAGGAAAAGGAAGCTGAGAGGGAGCCATGTCCTGAAAACTCCCCACCGGAGAGGGTAGAAGGGAGCGAGGAAGTGGAAGAAAGTGAGCTGAATGCACCTGCTGCACCCGAGCCATCAGTATCTCCCTGCAAAACCATCGTGGCAGCAAGCTCTGTCGACGACCCTGTCATCCTGCCCTTCCGTATCCCCCCCCCACCCTTGGCATCTGTGGATATTGATGAAGAGTTTATGTTCACTGAGCCACTGCCCCCTCCCTTGGAGTTTGCCAACAGCTTCGATATCCCCGATGACCGCGCGGTTTCTGGGTCGGCTCTGACAGACCTGGTCGCACAGAGGAAGAATGGCACACCCTCACCCGCACCATTTGTCCCCAGCCAGCCAACAAATTCCCTAGAAAGCAAAAAGCAAGTGGGTCTTTCAAACTGTTTGCCTGCCTCCTTTCTGCCACCCCCTGACAGCTTTGATAACGTCACTGACTCTGGGATTGAGGAGGTAGACAGCCGAAGTAGTAGTGACCATCACTTAGAGACAACCAGCACTATCTCAACGGTGTCCAGCATCTCTACCTTATCTTCGGAAGGGGGGGAGAACGTGGATACTTGTACAGTCTATGCAGATGGGCAAACATTTCTGGTGGACAAACCCCCAGTACCTCCTAAGCCAAAAATGAAGCCCATAATCAACAAAAGCAATGCACTTTACAAGGACGCGCTGATCGAGGAGACTGTGGACAGCTTTGTGATCCCTCCTCCCGCTCCACCCCCACCTCCCATCACTGCCCAGCCCAACATGGCTAAAGTTGTCCCCCAAAGGACATCCAAGCTATGGGGGGATGTGCCAGAGGTGAAAAGCCCGATTCTCTCAGGCCCCAAGGCTAATGTTATTAGTGAATTGAACTCAATACTCCAGCAAATGAACAGAGAGAAATCCTCAAAGCCAGGGGAGGGATTGGAGTCACCGACCGGAACAAAGACTGCAAGTCTCAGTACAAGGTAAAAGTAATTAACCAAATAATTTCCTCAAAAAGGTTTGATTTTTTTGCCAACCCCTCACTAACTTCGCCTGTAAATCATGTAGATTAGAGGAGAGTGTAGTCTGTTCTATGTATTTGCTTAATGAATAGTCTATATCAGACAAGAATTTCTTACATTGTCAATATTTGTTTAGCCCACACCATAGGAGAGGAGTTTTCTCAGTCTTCTCCAACTTTAAAGACAGTTTGCACAAACCTTTCAGTTGTTCCAATGTAACTCACTTGCATTTCTTTTTAAGTAGTATTTTTCTCTCTCTTTTTTTTTTTTTTTTTTTTTTTTTTTAATGTGGTAATTTATTTTTCCTTCAGTCCCATAAGCTGTTTTGGCTTCAAACAGGTAAAACATGGTTTTGCCTAGGGTTCCTTCACATTCACTGTGTGGTGTCATTTGATTCATGCTGAGACCTCTCAGAATCTATTTTACTATAAAGCATAAAGGTATTTTAGAAAATTACTCATTGAAATCACTGTGAGCTGTTCGTGTTATTACTAAAAAGTTAATTTAGCATCTCTGCCACTTAGTACTAGGGGGCTTAAGTTCTGCCTTTTTCTGGTTAGTGAATAGTCCCTGATGTTCACAGGTTGAAGGTGTCCCTGGCAGGGCAGTGCAATACATTCACGTGTAAGTGGTTTCCAAAAGGTACTTAAGTGAGAAGTAACAGAAGCCAAACACCACTGGGGAAATGTACAAGTAATTTTGTGGAACATGGACATAATTTCATGAAATCCAGTCACCAAAAACAAAACAAAACAAAACACCAAAAAAACCCCACCCACCAAACAAACAAAAAAACCCAAACAAAAACAAACAGAAAGGAAAATTTTATTAGAATTATTCTGCTGGTTAATAAATAACTCAGCCTTTGAAAAGCTGCTGTACTTTGCATGCATGAAGATAGTTTGATTTTTAGGGGAAGGCTGGCTCTGTTGATTGCAAATGATTGCTCATTCAGAAAACAGTGTGATCAACAGCCTCAGCCTCAGGTATTCGTATTATTTCCTGCAAGGTGGAAGTCATCAAACTGGTGATGGGGGGTAATACAATTTTTAGAATGGAAATAGAACACTGAAATTCTGTAATTCTTGTCAGTGGCATTTGACTAACTGGAGCGGAAACTGAGTTGGCTGTACAGGAAAAAACTTCATACATGAAAAAAAATACTATTTTTGCTAGACATTGATCATGTGGTATGGTAACCACGGCAGTGTTGGATCAAGGGCTGGACTTGATGATCTCAGAGGTCTTTTCCAACCTGACTGATTCTGTGATTCTATGTTTCTTGTTAAGCCCCATGACCATGTTGCCTTTAGCTTCATATGTATAATATTATTTATCACCTTGTATTTTTAAGCTGATAGGTATTTCCAGGTTACAGTGGAGATCTTTACCATCCCTATTTTATTAGAAAATAACTGAAGCAACCAACTACAATGTACTGTAAAGATATCAAAGTATTATTATTACTGAGAGAAAAATGAAAAGTAGAAGTAAATACATTTTTTGAGAAAATATGTTTAAAAATTGTAAAAACTGGAAAAAATTAAAAACTATACCACTTCATTGGAGAAAAGCAAACTATTACATAAGGAAGAGTAGCCCCGTATGTTACATTTTAGAGAAAGATCCGACTTAGGAAAAAATCAAAAAACTCAAGGACAGAAAAGTAATATAAATTTGTAACTCTGTCCAACTCAGGTTTGGCAAATTCTTTAGTCTTCATTATGGAATACAGAGGCTCAATTTGGAAACAAAACTACCCAAAGCATTATTTCAGCATGGCTGAATCCTACTTCTTTCCTGAAAAGTGAAAGCAAACAGACATCTTTGCAAATCAGAGAGAGGATCCTGGGATGTAACAATGCCAAGAGCTATGAGGGAATAAATAGGATAAATTGGCAGTGGCACAGAGCAGCAAAACTCTTGGCTGCCATTTGGCTGTGGGAGAAAACAGAATTCCTGGTGGGAACAGGAGGAAAGAGAGCTGTATTTTGTTCCCTTCTGTTTTCTAAATTGCTGTGATTACGTTATTTTTTAATTGTGAGGTTAACTGAAGATGCTAAAACGATCAGAAAAGGTTATTTAGGATCTCTTTTTTAAGTGAAATGATATGCAGGAGCTAGCAGAGGAGAACCAGCTACCCACAGATATTAAAAGTATGTTTGGAAAGGTGCTGCAGGCAATTACTTTTCATCTCAACAAGAATGAGGTAGAGAAATGGAAATGCAGAAGATCAGCTGTAGATTCAGAACCCACCCCCTGGAGCCACGCAGGACCTTCCCCTCTCCCTGTGCAAAACCATCCCCACATGCCAGGGGTGGATGAGAGAGGATCGATTTCTCAGACTGATAAAGAGTGTGAAAGAGGGAGCAGCATAAGCCATTGATGCTTGGTAAATGCCTTTTTTTTTTTTTACTGCTTTTACTCCTGCCTTGTCTTTTAAAAGTTAAATAAATTACAGCCTTTCTAGCCCATTTGCACAACTGACACAATTTTTTTACAAAGCTGTCAAATATTATGACCAAGGAATACCACCTTGTGAAAATTTCAAGTATGAAAGCTAATATTTAAATTTTAAAGGTAAAATTCCTAGAATTTCTTGGGTTTTTTTTCTTTTAGACTGTAAAGCCTATGACAGCCAATTGCAGAGCTTGCAGCCCTTCCCTGTGAGGTTGCATTAGAAAGGGAGAAAGGAATTTTAGCTCATGAAAAGCATGGATTCTGCTAAATTAAAGAACAACTCGTTAGCTGTGCTAAAGGAAAAATGATAAAAAATGAGTATGCCTGTTCCCATCCCTTAGCCAAAGAGAGGGATTGGGAAGTGTTATAAATAGGAACAACGTTCATAGGCTTGCTTGGGTGATGTTCACAGCACAAGCAGCCTGATGAAATTAAAAACATATATTTGCTTATTGGCCCATACATGAAGTTATAGACTGGAATTTCCAGAGCGGAATACTAAATATCCCTAAAAATCCCTTTTGCACAGCCTTTTGCACAGTAGATGCACAGCTGTGGTTCACTCACAGCAATTGCCCTGTTAGGGTTGTACAGGGGTGAATTAAACTGTAGATAGCTCTTGCCACAGAAACCCATAAAAATATCTTTTTTTGAGGATTAGGAAGAGATCATCCTACAGTACAGAGCAGCATTTCTCAATTATTACATTACATACAGCAAGAATAAACTTGCTTTTATTCTCTGCACATGGGTTTAGCAGTAATTTTACACAGTTTTATTTATAGTTTTCCGTGGTTCTTGTGGAGACACCGAGTTTCAAGATTTTTAAATAGAGCCTGGAAACGTTTGGCTGGAAACCATCTGCTTCTCAGTGGCAGTGACCAGCCACAGGATAGAAAAGAGGAGTCTGGTAGGAGAAGGAAAAGGAGGAAGAAGCGAGAGGATGTGCTTGCTTACTTTGTACTAATAAAAGCATAGTTTGGTCAGAAGATTTGAGAACAGAGATTCCACTCCCAATTTTGGCCATCATTTGCTTTAAAAAATTTAAGAAATTATGGCCATAGATAGAGATTTTAATCTGGTGTCTCTGCGTAGTCAGGTCCCAATATCTGACCATCACTCCCTCCAGTTTTCCTCATCTTGCCTTACAGAAAACGTTGATGGTTGTTTGAATATGGGACTCTGTTTGACCCAAACACCTGGAACTAAAGCCCCAGTGATGAACTCTGGTTGTGATTCCTGTGTTGAAATTTGGACATGCTCATGTGCAGCTCTGGGAAGACCTAGGGAGGGAACACCTGCCTTGGCAGGTGACGCTCTGCTCTCAGCAAGGACAGAACGTGTAGTGTCGACCGTGGTGCTAGAAATACAGTTGTGCTATGAATTCACTCAAGAGACTACTGGCTTTTACAAGGAGCTGATAAAAGAACTGAGGACAAGAGAAAGGCGGGGTTTTTATCAGGTGAAGGGAGGAGTGCTGGCTCTGTCTGTGAACCCGGCAGTTGCGTAGCAACGTGGTGATCAAGTGCAAGCCTGTGAGATCCGCTGAATAATGTCAGCGTGATTAACACAGGATAGACTCTGTGGCTGCTGGGGAGAGAAAACACAGCCCCCAGTGAAAACAGCATCCTGGCTCCACGTATTAATAAAGAATAATACAACAACTGCTGCTGCTCCCTCCCAGCACTGGTACCAAAATGATCGGTAGCTTTGCCACAGGGAGAAACAATTTCTAGTTCAAACGGTGCTTGTATTCCTCTGGCTGTGTTTGCACAATGTGCCTGTGGCCTCTGGGGCGAGATGGCATCACTCCTGGTAGTGGGAAATGCTCATTATAAATATGGAGTCGTGGAGGACGCTTAACCAGGCGGAATTGAGTCCTCTAAGAAAAATAACCTGTATTGTGTTGGAATAACAAGTATTAAAAGTGGAACTGTCCTTGGACAGTGGTTTTGGCCATCTCTGAATTATTTTTTTCTTGAGTATCTGAAAAAGTTCCAGTTCTTTTCACAAACAGATAAGGCAGAACTGAACTTAGAAGCAAGTCCTGCTTAGCAGCAAATCCAAGGACTGATCCTACAGTGGTTTGTTTTAAAGGATGTCTGGGTCTTGCAATTGATGAAATAGGTGGTATAGTTCTCAAGCCTTGATTTTTCACTCAGCTGCTTTCTCAGTAGACTCATTTCATGTTGTTAACCATTTCTCAACCACTTTCACAGAATTGCTTGCTTTGTCAGTAATTTCTGCAATTTCAGTCATTCCATTTTGTCATTTTTATTTGCTGTCATGACTGCTGTTGTCAGAGGAGGGTCATGCTGAAGTGCCATGGAAGTAAGTGCCGACCATAAAGCATAGAGTATTCTATATTGTACATTCTGCTTCTTTTTAACTCATTGTTATTGCATTTTAGTGACTTTGGTGTTGACTTCATTACTCAGTGCAATGTGGATTAGATCATCTAATCCAGAAATGGTATTCATCCTAAAAACAGGAGTAGGATG